AGAGTTTAGAGTTTAGCGTTTAGGGTATTAGGGATTAGGGATTAGGGTGTTGGGTGTAGGGTGTAGGGAGGCTTCAGGGCTTCTAGGACGGTTTGGGGTTCCTATAGTCCTGTAAGGGCTACCGGTCCTGCAAGGGTTCTCTAAGGAATCTAGGGTTAGGGCTAGGGCGTTTCGAGTCTAGTGTTGTGGCCTAAACCATAAACCCCTAAACCCTAAACACTAAACCCTAAATACTGACCCTAAAACCCCTAAAACCTTAACCCTGCAACATCCTGAGAGGCTGAGGGGTTTCAGGGTGGGTGTAGATAGGGTGGAGGGCTCCCATATGGCACCCTGCATAGTGCAGCGTGTCGAGCTTAGTTAGGGCAGGGTTTATATGGTTTTAGGGTTTAGGGCTTTAGGGGTTTAGAGTTCTTTTTTCAGGGTTTAAAGGTTTAGGGTTTAGGGTTCAGGGTTTCGGGTTTAGGGAGACTGCGGGACTCCAAAACCATGCCCCTAGACTTCGACAGTATGCCGGTCATGTTGGATGACAAACTTCGACAATAGCGACGGTTTTTGTGAGGTTGTCCGCTAGCGACCTCACCTTACAACACTAAGCAGATGTGATGATAAGTCTCCACAATCTATAATCCTGACTCCTAAACGCCCCACCTTGAGACCACCCGAAACTACTTTGATAACACCCCCGCAAAAACGACGTAGAGCCCACAAAAAGGTCTTTGGCGTCAGGTTGCAACAACTCCTCCAGAGCCTTCACTGACAGCCTCAGTTCAGTTATGATGCTTCGGGAGCTTGGTTCAACAGGTGTGGGGTCTCGAAACGTTTCGCTCACGCCTGTTGGGTATGATATTGGATGGCACAGCTTTCAAATTGCGTCTCGTGAGAGTCTTGCCGGCGATGATTGTCATGGTAGGTTGAAGCACAGCAGCACTAGCAGCAGAGTCCGTGTCTCATTACCGTCTTTCTCCTTGAGGGCCAAGCCATTGTCATCATCACTTGGTCAACATCACCGTGAACGCCTTCGTGACAACTCTCCTCATATCACGGTTACTACGACCACAGCCATCGCCACTATGATCATGATCAGCATCGTCTTCTCCTGCACCATCACCATGATCATGCCGACCAGAATAACCAAAATCACCATCACCCTCAGCTACATCCTGCCCATCATCATCGCCATCATCAACACATCTCTGACCAGCATTGTCATATTCATCATTCTGGTCATCTTTTCATTGTCACCATCCTTGCTATCGCCATGGTCGTCATCACTGCTACTCTTGTCACTACTTCTCATACTAGTACTCGAACTGTCGGTGTAACGGTCTGTTCCTACCGTTCTGCCCCCTAAACTGTTGTTGCATGAGCCAGAGCACGATCATGCTATTTAGTCAGTAGCATCGTGGTAACACTTCTCTATGCAGCGTTGTGTCCGCAGTATTTGATCTACTTGCAACTGGTAGCGGTGGCCATCACCACCATCAGTTTGCTGAACAGCTGGCAGCACATGAATAAGGCAGGGAACCTTGATAATTCGAGCAGGGTTTTTGAGGTATAGTATACGATAGTACTATAGAGACTACACGGGGGATTCTTTAAGATCTGAACCCACCAGCCCAACCCGGGCCGAGGAGCTTCTTCACGCCCTGTAGGTTCAGACGTCGTAGGGGCAGCTGCTGCAGAAGGTGGCAGAGCTTCTTTATGGGCTCGGATAGGCAAGACCTGATGACTAGTGGTGCAGATGAAAGGAACACAGGCTGGACAGCTGAGACTGTGCCCATGTCTGCACACTGGCCTGATTATTAGCGACCAAGAGCCATAGGCTGCCACTTCAAGCCTTTAGGGTTGAGGGTCCTTGCAGGTCAGGGTGTAAGGCTTAATGAACTGCAACACATCCAGGTACAACGTTTCATGTGTTGATTAACTCGTCCCCGCTACGTGCGATAGCCCCTCACTCACCCAAAATCCCTACATCTCTCTGTCCGGTAACTCTTCATTACCCTGAACCCTGACTCCCCCTAAACCAGAACTCCTAAACTCATCCAAAGCTCCAAACCCTCAAACTCGCAACGCGCACTTTAACCCCTAAAGCTCCGACTCTTCCAGCTAAGCAGCGTAGCGAGCCGCAACTCCTGCAGAAAGTGACAGCTTGCTGGCTATCCCTGTCGGTTCAAAAGATGCATGTGTCCATCTACATGTACATAGATATGGCTATAGTTAGTATAGACAAAGACACCCACATCGACATAGATGTAGACAAGGATGGAGATGCAGATGCAAACAACGAAATAAACATGGGTGCAGGCATGGATATAGGCATAGATTTTAATCTAGATGTCGATGAAAATGTAAACACACACATGTACCAACGGATATGATATATAGATATAGACAACAGTGCAGATATGGACGTTGACATAGAGATAGTGATAAAGACACAGTTATAGGTATTGATCTAGCTAAAGATAAAGAATATAAGATATTGATATACATATGCCAGTATGTACAGATATAGATGTAGATACAAATACAGTTATAAGTAGACTTACAGTAGATTCAGATAAAGTTTCATATTCCGATATAGGTATAGATACAGAAACGAATATAGACGTAGATATTAGGAATAGATGTACGTATAGCACAGAAATAGGTTTTGATACATATCTATACAGATAGGCATAGCCTTCAACTCCATCTCAGCTGACCAAAGCCCTAAACTTCAGCTTGTAAAGGCTATAAACAAGTAAAACCCTGCCAGCAACACTGCAAAAACACTGCACCAAACCACGGCCTATGTAGCCCCACTACAGGGGTCTGGGTAATTTCGCACCTCTTGTATTATAGAGGCCTCTCTACCCCCTTATCTATCTCTAGTATCATGCACTAGGTTAAGCCATCCAGGCCCCCCTACATTATACCCCTTGAACGAACCCTGATCTAAGCATATAGACCCTAACCCCCAAACCCTAAACCCCACACCCTAAACCGCAAACCCTAAACTACAATCCTAAATCCCAAACCCTAAACCCCAAGCCCTAAATCCTAAACTCTAAACCGCAAACCCTTAAACCCTAAACCCTAAACCCTAAGCCCTGCAGCAGCGCGGCTCCTCCATGGCCAGCATCGCCATCGCGAGCGATCCGCGGCTTGAGATGCGCACTGCCAGCCTTGGCCGAGAGGGGAGGGGAGGGGGTGGTTTAAGGTTTGGGGTTTAGGGGTTTAAGGGTTTTGGGTTTAAGGTTTGGGGTTTAGGGGTTTAGGGGTTTAGGGGTTTAGGGGTTTAGGGTTGGGGTTTAGGGTCTGCGGTTCAGGATTTGGGGCTTGGGGCTTAGGGAGTTATAGATGATTAGATCTATCCAAGGGCCTGTCAAATTGTTCTGAGTGCTTTCTACGAGTGTTACAACGACTTTATAAGGCTCCCCATAAGGGAGTACTAGGAGGGCTGAACGAAGGCTTTTGCAGGGGTTTGGAACTCCGTTTTAGGGGGTCCTGAAGAACAGGTTCCCACTGTTCAGGCATTCGGGTTTAGAGCTTGGTTTAGGGCTTCGGATGCTCCCGGAGGCGGGGTCCCTGTTGGGAGTCCTTACTTTGGCACTCTTATCACTCTTTCGGGTAGAGCACCTCAGTTCAGAGAAGTGCCTCTATGAGAATTTCCGAAAGACGGGATTGGGCCGCAGGGCCTACTGCAGGGGCCGTAGAAGTTAGGGAAGGGCCCCTGATGTTGAAACAGGGATGGTCCTCGGGTCCAAGATTTAAGGTTTCCAAGCAGTTCCGATGTTGGGTTCAGGGCTTAGGATTTCAAGCATGGGTCTGATGCTGAAGTGTGGCATTTGCTCTAAACAACACGCCGTGCACAGGGGGCCACACCGCGCTTTTCAGTTTTTGTGGGTGCACTTCCTGCTTATCTAATAGTTCTAGACACTTTTGAATCCAGATTTTTCAAACTCGAAGGTCTTACGCATCATCATGAGAACCCTGGAAAAAAGCACATGGACTACCAAAAGATGATACGCAGAAACTTCACAGCCATCGAGCTATCAGAAACTCATGGGGATGCCAACCGCCAAAGGAGACCACGAAGCTGAACGCTATCACTAAACCCAAAAAGCATCACGGCCCCTGCAAGATGCCGATATGCATGGCTGATAGATCCCAGTGGCTGCTCCGCTTGGGAGCAGCGGGAAAGAACGAGTTGCCCAACATGGCCGTCCATGGCTCTGATAATACAACCAGGTAGGGTACGGGAGGATATGGGAAGGGGGACAACAGGTGAGCAGGGCTTCGAGCAGATTCGAGCAACAGTGGTTTCAGCAGATAGAACTCCAACATATCTCTCATACCCGAAGACATGCTCCATGAGACATCTGCAAAAGGCTGCACGAATCGGAGATCGCTTGATCGAGCATTTCTGACAAAAGGACACCGAAGCCGTGCCAGACTACAGAGGAGCAGTCCTTGTCTTCCTCCTCCTCCTTCTCCTCTTCATCTTTTTCCTCCTTATCCTCCTCCTTCTCGTCTTCCTTTTCCTCCGCTTCTACCTTCTCCTCGTTGTCTTCGTTCTCGTCCTCGTCATCCTTCTCCTCCTCCTTCTCTGTCTCGCTCTCCGCGTCCTCGTCCTGCAGGAAGAATACACTGAAGCAGCAGAGAGCGAATGCTTTACAAAAACGGATGGAACTTCATGACTTCTGCTCCAAGCCCTAACCCCAAGCCTCCTTTTTGGGGACAGGCTCACCGGCAGGAGCCTCAGTGTGAAGGCTTTACTCTCTGGGCGCTTCGGCTTGTTTTAGTAAGGCATCCCTCGTAGCAGCCGTCACCAATGATGATGAGGAGGAGGATGATGATGATGGTGGTGGTAGCGCTGGTGGTGGTGTAACTGGTGGTGGTGTAACGGGTGGTAATCGGTGGTAGCAATAATTGGTGGTAGAAATTGGTGGTTGTAGTCGTCGTCGTCGTAGTACCAGCAGCAGCAGAAGAGCCGCAGTGCAAGAGCAAGAGGGGTAGCAGTAGGGGTAGCAGTAGGGGGGGGAGAAGGGGGAGGAGCAGCAGCAGAAGCAGCAGCCGCAGCAGAGTAACAACGAGTACCACCAGCACGAGGTGCAAGAATCAGCCATAGAGACCGTTGTGTTCTCAAGCCGAGCGGGCGGCGGGTGTTCCCTCGGATTCGAGGATTTCGGGTCTGATGGGCGGCTGCTTGGGCAGCGCCTGTTTTCCTGGCACGACAAGAAGTTTAGGTCTAGGTTTTTGGGGTTTGGAGTTGAGGGTTTATCCATCAGCTGGCTACTCGAAGAAGCTTTCAGCTAGCTCCGGCTAACCCGACAGAACACATTGTCTCAAGGCACTCCTAGGATGCAACATTCCTTCAGGCAACAGGGTGGCTACCGTGTGAAACTGGTTGACATTATCGAAGCCCGTACTCTTGCATTCCCGTGGTCCCAGTCGATGTGCCGCCGCTCGGCCGATATGACTGGAACACTAATAGGCTTCAGGGTTTAGGGTTTAGGGCCTAGGATGCATCCACCAGGAAGAACACGGAAGACAAACTTCGACACTTGACGACATTCGTAGAGATGGAAGATTCTGTATTTGCAGCCACCACAATAGTTCTACAGTACCTCATGAAAGAAGCCTTAAAAGAGCCCTATTCCAACTGTCAAGGCCCCTGAATGCCGAACCCAAAGAGCCAAAGCAATAAAGGACAGGCCGGAGCTGTGAGGCTTGGAGGCTTTGGGGCTTCAGGCTTTAAGCTTTCAGGGGCTTAGGGCTTTAAGGGTTCAGGGTTGCGGGTCTAACCGTTTCTAACCGTTTAAGAGTTTTGGGTTTAAGGCTTCGGGATCCAAGACGACTGGCACTCCGACAGGATCCGGATCAGCACACGCACGTGGCAAGCACAACGCAATTGGAAACTGAAGGTCAGAATTGGCTTTTTCTGCATCTGGCCAGCTGTTGTCGTAGGTGTTGTGTTTGACAGCCTACAGATCCTTGCTCCAAACCGCATCGACGCAGCCGGAAGGAAGCCAAAAGTGCAAGACCCCGAACCCTTCACCCCAAAACCGCGAGCAAAGACTCCCGGACTCCGAGGAAGTTGATGGAGTACATCTCCATTGAATCAAAGGGAGCCTACTAGGCTCCAGTCGAGTCTTCGCTTCCCGGAGACAAGCCTGAACCCCAACCCCAGACCCTTTTTTAGGGGTTTAGTGGTTTGGGGCTTTAGGGGTTTAGGGGTCTACGGATTTAGGGGTCTAAGGGTTTAGGGTTTAGGGAACCCCAGAATCCAAATCCTCAAGCCCTGAAGCCCAAGGCCAGCCACGGAAACCGTGAATCCCTGAACCCCCGGCACTGCCAGATCTGCCTAAAGCCTAAACAACAAAGCCCCAACACCCTAAACCCTACCCCAAAGCCCCCAGCTCCCCAAGCACTGAACCCTAGACACATACCCTAAGCCGGCTTTTCTGAAGCCCTGTCCAACACCCTAAACCCTAAGTACCCTAAGCCGTAAAACCCTGAGACCCGAAAGCTTAAACCCGAAAAACTCTGGAACCCCCCAAATCAAACCTTAAGCCCCCAAAAAACCCTAAATACCGCCGACAACACCTGAAAACCCACTTAAAAGCCTCTACACCCGGAAGCCCTCCAAAGCAAACCTCGGACTTCCTGGCCTATGTGAACGGAGAACCATGCGCGACTGCAGTCTCCGTTCGGATCCCCTCTCCTGCTTTTGAGGTCCAGATAAAGCTTACTATAAGTCAGGCTGACCATCTAAGGGCTACTATCGGGTTACTGTTTATAAGGCTTATCATCTAAAGGTTACTATAGGGTTACTAGCTATAAGGCGTACTATGCAGGCAACTAGGCTTTGGGGTTTCTGAGCAATGTGAAAGCAGGGTTTGCTGGTGGGGTTTAAAGTATACCTTAACCTACCAGAATCTTCGTTTTTGTAGGGTCCTTGTAAAAGCCATATTCGGATTTATACCCCCAAAAAAATATGCTTTGGTAGATTAGGGGAAGGGTTAAGTTTAGTGTACAGGGGTTTTAAGTAGTTAGGATTATGGCGGGTTTAGGGTTTCGGGTTTGGGGTGTTTAGGGTTNNCCTTGACGACACTGGGGCACCAGCTAATTACAGCGTAGAGGATACAGCGACAGGCATGCATCCTCGGCATGTGTCCTTGTATTGTAAATTTGAACAACTGAATATGATGAACCCCATGACAAGAATAGTAGAATCAAGATTGAAGATACATCGGAAATACGGGTAAATTGTACTTTTAAAGGCACGACACTGGGGAATGGAGGCATCGAGCGATCCGGTCCAGTCTTGCGAGTTCT